TGCTGTATCACAAATGATAACACCATTCAATCTTCCCGGCATATACATTTTATGGTCAGTATATTGAATGAAATCATGAGGATTAGATGAAAATGATGAAGGATATAATGAATTAAAATCAACACCAACGAAATGAGTCATGATGTTGGTGGTGTCCTCATTTGATACAGTTTTAGTTTCTGGATTATATGAAAGTTTATTAATGTGCGTGATTCCTTTAAGATTTACTCTATGTTGAACATTTGATAGACCACCAGTAATTCCATTACGGAGAATGTGATAAGCTTCAACTGAATCTAAAGTCATTGGTAAATTATTTTTTAATGCATAATTTCTTAAATTGATTCTTAAACGTTGAACATCTTCATCTTTATTTGATTTTACGACATTACAATAACAACACATTAACTGACAATTTTCTTTGGTATGTGGTTTTTCATTATCTATTCTATCCAATGTTGGTTTATTTGCATATGTAAACGCTTTACCACACATTTTGCATTTAGATGAAAGGATTAAATCGTGATAGTATTGATAGTCATCCATTGAAACATTGTTTTTAGTATCCCTTTCGCTTTTTCATCTTGTTTCTTATATGATTCAATTTTATATTTCCAATACTTTTTTGTTAATTCAAAACTTGATTCCACATTTTCTTCTTCTGGATATGTTTCGTTAGGATTGAAGTTCTTATATGCTAACGCGTAACGAATCATTGATGCATTCGATGATAAAGAAAGATTATGAAGCATGTCAATTTTATAAACAAATGTTTCTTCGATAATTTTATCAATTGGGTCAATCATAATTTCAACATCTTTATTGCAATAATGAATAAAATATTCTAATCTATTCTTAAAGTTTTTAGCATCATTGAGATATATTTGATAATCTGAATCGGATATTGTTTCTTGTGTTAATGCTGAATAAAATGAATCTTGAGTGAATGGTTCCTTTTTATATAATTCATCTTCGTAATTCTCCCATGTGATGAATTGATAAGGGAAAAAGGATTTAACACGTGTTTTATTGTTTCCGAAATCTTGAGTGAATTGGTCTAATGTTCCACCCGCTATATAATTTCTGATGTCAATAAATCTTAATTCATATGGACAGTTTGTTTTCTTTACTATGACTTGCTTAAATTGAGAAGAAGAACCCAGCATTGATTTTATCTTCCATTTTGCAGTATTTAAATCATGAAGAATTAAATTTAAATCAAACTTTCCCGAATTAAAACCAATGATATTCACTTTATTAAATTCTTCATCTAAAAGCTCTTTAAATGCTTCCTTCTGTTTTTCATTTAATGTATGAGACAAAGTCCCCGCCGTTTGGTCCGTTTGCGACTTCATTAATTCTTCATATTGTTCAATATTTGATTTAGCAACTAATGAACAGGTTGAAAATAAAAACTCAATCCAATCAGAAATAAAAGAATCACTCGAAGTTAAGCAAAAATTCCTCGTATATGTTTTATCGTTTAATTTAACCGTTGATGATACCATGAATGGTTTTAAGTAAGCGTTTAAAGTTGCACACTCAGAAAGTTGTAATTCTTCTTTAGTCTCTAATGTTTCGAAGTCAAAAGTAATATAATATCTTGTTGGTTTATAATATTCCTGCAAATTGTGAGCTAATAACCACTGATATATCTTCTGTTTCGTGATATGTGGTGCATATGGTTGTTGTGTGTTTTGCAATTGAACGTCTTGAATTAATCTTCCATTATTTTCTTTACATTTCTCACAATGTTTTAAAAATCTTCTTTGGTTTTTCCTTTCTGGATCATCACGGATAGAATAAACTTCTTCTTTACAATATGGACAAACTCTATAGCCGGTGAGTGCTTCAACGTCTGTTATTCTGTCAGCGTGAAGTTTTCCACATGGACTCTGTGTTAATAAAATATTTGCTGTTTCAAATTCTGGATCTATCATTATTGATTCCACTAATGGAAAGTCTACCTTGTTAATGTCTACGTCTTCTGGTTGAGGATCACAATAATAGAAATCAATATTAACGTTTAACATTCTTGCTAACCTCTCACTTTCTGATGAAATGTCAAATCCTTCATATGCATCTATGGCTTCATTTAAATAACTTCTACAAGTTTTAGGATTAACACCATCAGGAATGTTATAGAAGCGTTTAAATAACCTTCTACCTTCGGCTCTTATTTGATTATCATTCATTTTAGCTGTTCCATTTTTGTTCATTTATGTAAGAATAAAAATTAAAAAATAAATAAAAATAAAGTTTATTTTTTTTAAGTCCGAGACTCAGAGAGTCCAGGGTTAAAGCCCATAAAATGAATTAAGAACACATAAATTTTTATCATCTGCGACGTGACGAATACATTTTAATTTACTCAAGAATGCGTACCCTGATACATTAAATCTAATTCCTGTCTTATTTAATTTCACAACTTTGAAAAGGAATGTATGAATAGCTATAAAATGATGAGAAGATGTTTTATGGGTTGCTTCCATTTTTTCTGAAATAAATGAATAAATATATATGTTTATAAGTTTTCATATCTTTTATGTTCTTAATAACGAATGGTATAGACCTTTCCACTTCGTCTTCCTTCGGTGCTGTTCTTTCATATGAAACATTATTGGTATCTTCAATAATGAAACCACAATCACATAAAATTTTATATGTACCAATTGTTTCTTTTGATATTTTATCTAACAAATCAAAAACTTTATCAACACCTGTACATTTATTTAAATAATAATTTGTGTAAATATCATGGTCTTCTTTCTTAATCGTATTTGTTGCATATGTTACATTTTTCAGTGCTTTTTTGAATTTTTCAGAATCAAGAGGAGGTGAAAGTAATATACATGGATAATCTCCATCGTCAATAAATTGTAACTTATGTTTATGAATAAATTTTGTGCCTTCTTCTGAAAGTGTTTCGTCAATATCACCATCTAATAAATTTTTAGTAGATTCTAAAAAGTAATTTTTATATCTTTCTTCATGAGATTTCTGAACTTCTGATTCTGAAGCTGGGATATTCATTAAACCCTCTACTTCATTTTCAACTTCTCTTAATTCCTTAATTTTTTCATCTATTTCATCTCTTATTTTTTCCAGTCTTTCAATTTCATCGTTATAATATTCATCTTGTTTAATTTTTTCTTCAAAATATTCAGGAGGTGTTTCAAGGCTCTCTGAGCCCAGGTCCTCTGGACCATAAAGAGGAATATTCTCCTGTTTTTCAACTTTTTTGGGATATAAATATCTCATTATAGCCTTTTTAGTAATTGGTCCGTTATATTTAAATTCATTCAACAATCTGGAAAACTCTTTCACATTCTGCATATATGTTGGATAAGAACCGTCTCCAAAATTTTCTAAAATATTTTCTAATTCTGAATTAGTGAACTTTAAAGATTTCAATGAATTAGTTGTTATACTCATTTATTATAAAATAAAAAATAAAAAATAAATTTAACTTAGTTTTAATTTTACGTAAGAAGTCAATTTTTTAAATCTTGATTTATTCAAAAACGTAAGAATAAAAACCGTAAGAATCATACATTTTTTACTTCATATGTTAAAAAAAATGATACAAAATCGTTCAATATTGTATGAATTCTTACGTTTACAAAAAAAGTCACACAACCCTTCCACATATACTACTTCACTTTTTCCGTAATTCAAATTTCAACATTATGTATTTTAATTCCTTATAGTATTTTTAACATAATTAATCAAATAATAATTGGAAGTTCTGAACTCACTTTTTCCGTAATTCAAAATCAAAAATATGAATAATATATCTATTTATTATATACTAATGCTATTTTCAACTAGAAGTGAGGTACGGTAATCTTACGGATTCCCGTAACTCAATTTTACGGGAAAAGTGCAGTAAACTACTCAATTTACGGAAAAAGTGTCGTAAACTATTGATGTGGCGGTAAAATCACGGTAATTCACGGAAAGCTATATGCGAAAATTTGAAATTATACAAAATCGAGCGAAACACTTTTAAATAGGTTGTTCTCGTATTTAAAATACTATTCCCAGATTTATTGTCGTCAGAATATTTCCAAATTTTTGCCGATTTACAAAAAATGATTTACAAAGCATATTTTTTAATCTAAAAAATTCCTAAAAAAGGAACCGGTGTGCGGAAACCTCGGTAAATTACCGCGGTCCCCGTTGGGACTGCCATATCCAAATCTGTCATTAGATATATTTAGAGTTCCAGATTCTTCCAAAAATTCTTTGGAATTTTAAAAATGATTCAAAAAATTTAGAAAATAGTTTTCATTTTTTGAATTTCATATATTTTTTGGAATTTTTCGGAAATTTAATATCAACAACATTAGAGATAATTCAATTTATAATCAAATACAAATCATTGTTCTGTAAAAAATCAATATTTTGAGATTAAATTTACTGAATGTTATTATTATACAATTAATACATTTTCATATCCCTTTGTACATATATGTAAAACTCAAAGTGGCGATTATCCTTCACAAAATCATAACTGGAGACTTAATTTAATAACAATATCAAGGTTACAGAAAGATAAATGAAATATCTCATTTATAAATTTCTACTGCTGCTATAGAATCATCAATTTCAGAGGTATTATTATATTTTCAAACTGATTATGATGAATAAAATACTTGAAAACAAATCTTTTTAAGTATTATACAAATTTATTTACAAACAGTTGGCATTAGGTTACACATATGCCGGACCAATAAGTATTTACGTATTGAAGTTGGATTTTTCTTGATTGCATAATAAATGAAGTAAATCATTCAAGAATTGCGTAAAACTGGCTGGACAAACCATATGCATAAGTGAAGGTCGAATACGAAAGTAAATTTCGTGGAGATTTTTGTACTCTTGTCTTTTTTTTTTCAGAAAATCTGTGAATTGCAAGTATGAAACTTACTGATCGAAAAATTCTTCAAAGAATTATGATTCTTTTGTTATGAACCATTTATATTTGAAATTTACGATTAAGCGGTCGAATTAGTATTAGGGTTTTCGTTGGAATACTTATTTGCTTTTTGTTTCTTGTTTTTAAGTGGAATTTTTTGATATGGGAAAAATTCGGTCAATGGGTACTCAGGAGGTGATTGGTAATTTTGATAATCAGCAACTATGTATATTCTATCATCAACTTTGTTTAATGTAAAACATTGTGACCCAAAATATGAATGGTCGTTATATTTAATGTTGAAAATTACAGTAATATTGCAAAATTCATTGAACGGAACTATTGAATATTTCAGAATATTTAATTCTGAATCAGGAGGAATTCCAATTTGATGAAATAGTTGTTTTGAAACTGGAATTTGATGTTCTGAGAAAGAAGTTTTAATAACGGCATCTGGGTGATAAAACTTGTATATATCTTTCTTAATTGTTACAAGAAAATTATAGTACAGACAAATAAATTCTTTAGCATCATCAATCCAATCTGATGACATTTTTAGAAATGAGCTCTGACGTGCATATTTATAAGTCATTCGGTACATGACAGAAGATGGTATCCTTATAATATACATATTACCCTTGAAGTGTTTGAGAAATTTTTAACCAGGTTTTAATTCCCGATTAATCATTCCTGTTGGTCAGATGCTTCGTGTAAACCCATTTAAATATAATATAAAATGCGGATCAATCTGTAATTTTATAGACTTTTTTTAAACCACATTATTTTTAAGAGAAATGAGTTCACTGATATCCAGCTATTGATAAAAAATTCAATTTAATGATTCGAAAGTCAAACAATTCACAATTGATTTTCCGGAAAACAATTATTCTCTTTTTAGGTTTATTTTAATATGAACTATGCCAAAAAGCACTTAGTACAGTAAATTACATAACCAATTAGCCTGAATTAGATATTCTTTGATTTGTAATTGAAATTTGTATAATTTTGATAGATCGCGTTTCAAACAATATAATTTAGGCTAACATTTATTATTTCATCATATTTAAAGATTGAAACATATTGGCAAACCCAAATTTTAGCTAAAAGTGACAGGGAAAAAAAACGTTTAGTATTAAAAAAAAGACCGATGAGAGCTTCGTTCGAAATATAGAGGGAACTGAGAATGCGCAACCATTCTCAGGGAATATTGGATGCTATTCCCGTTCCCTCTGTATGGAAAATTGAGGTTTTCAAAGGGAGTTAAAATAATATCAAATTTATACTAATTTACTTCAAAATACAAAAGTATTTGACAGCTAAAATTAGTTACTTTAGCAAGCCTATCAATACCCTTTTACGATTATTGTTACTTTTTCGAAATAAAAGTAAAAACAAATTTATACTAATTTACTTCAAAATACAAAAGTATTTGACAGCTAAAATTAGTTACTTTAGCAAGCCTATCAATACCCTTTTACGATTATTGCTACTTTTTCGAAATAAAATAAATTTATTATCAAAAACCTTTTTTTTCTTAGTAAAAATAAAAATGTTATTTTATATCAAGTTTTTATTCATAAATTTTTATAATGTTGTATAAATTTCATTAAAATTTACGTAAATATTAAGGTACTTATCTTCTACATATATAATCTTCATTAGATATATACATGATAAATAAAATTCATAAAACATTAAAAATCAAAAAATTAGATAAACCTTGGCAATTAAACTTTATTAAATAATAGTTGTTTATAAATTATATTATATTATTATTTAATATTATTTTGATAATGAAGATTTTATTTTGCAATAATATAAACGAAATTTTTTACCTTATGAACTTTTGATGGAAATATGCAAATTTAAAATAATAAAGAAAGCCGCGAGCGAAGCGATCGGCTTAGTTCGAAGATTTTGATTCAAATCTTTGCTGATCTGTAATTCGCGGAAGCCGCGAGCGAATCGAGCGGCTTAGGTCTAAGATTTTGATTCAAATCTTTGCTTATATTCCTTAAATTCTTTATGAAACTCGCAACAGTTCCATAAAAAATTTTAAATTCTAAACTGTCGAAATTACCGATCGGTAATCACACCCTTCACGGGTGTGTCACTTTTTACAAACGTGTCACTTTTAGCTAAAATTACCCCTACTCGAAACATATTTGATTAAAATTTCAAATTTTGTTGTCTAATTCCTTTGAGAATTTGGATCCATATCAGAAATGATACGTAATCTCATATTCTATCCTTAATAACCTCATTCACCTTATGTATTCGGCATATTTCTTTCAATTTCAAAGATTTTACAGTAAACCTTTAATTTTTTGTTAGACCCAATATTATTTGACTGAGAATTCTCAATTGCTACAAATTTAATCCTGACATAATTATCGCCCCAAACTCAACTAACTGAATAATTCTTGCTTTCATTACTGTATTTATTGCTTAGAGGATGATTTTCGTAATTGAAGCACTTCAGAATTTCTTGATGTTTTCTAAGAAGTCAAATATGATGGTTAAAAAACAATTCATCTATACTTTTCTTTTATTATATGAGGATGATTTAGATAAAAATAAACTTCTTACATTTTTTTACAATAATCTTGATGAGATTCGTTGTCAATATATATTTTGTCAACTTTGCTGTAATAGCCATTCAAATTTTGTGAATAAACAGAAAGCTTTATGCAATTGTATGGATCCACTAAACGTGCATTATTTTATCTAATAACCATAAAATTCATTCCAAGTAAATCAAACATAATTGGATTTCCATAAAAAGCTTTTTTAAGTAGTATTTAAATTTTCATTGTTTTTAATAATGTTGCTCTGACCATATATTACAACTATTCTTAACTGAGTGGCTTTTTGTTTTCATAAAAATTTGAGACATTTATGTCAAAAATAGTTTTGTGTAGATTTAACCAGTCATAATGATAATACAATTCAGATTATTTCCCAACCAAGAAATGATGTGAACGATTTTCAATCAAATTGAATTTCCATCCATTTTAATATTTGATATAAAATGTTTCGAAAATCACAGCTAATATATTCTTCTTTTAATATTTTCGATCAGAAGTCATTAGGAAGCTTTCCATCAGTAAATAACGCAATTTATGTTCAAGTATTCTTTGTATTAAAGAGTCAAAGATATTTTCTTGAGAAAGTTCTTGAAGAATGTAATGAACACTTACAAAAGTCTCCAAATGATAGTGATACACCAACAATTAAGACCATCATTTTCTGGATAAATAAACTTCTTCAAGCAAATTATGGAACCTTGTTTAAAGAGTCAAGTGCTGCCTTGACAGACGTAAGATCAATTATCCAAGAATTAGCCGGAAAAGTTGAATGCGATGTTCTTTATCAATTCTTTAACATTATTATCTCCATTCAAAGAGCTCTCATCAAATTAGTTTATCTCGAAAAAGCTGATAAGAATAATTCTGACGAGGAAAGAAAAACAAATATTGATTACTTAACTGAAAACTCATTAATCTACGAGAACGAAAAATGTATAGTATGCCGAATTTGCAATGAGAAAGTTCCGATCAGTTTGATTGAAGAACATACCAATTCATGTCTTTCTGCAGTACAATCAGAGGAAATACTTACGGAAAATGATCAAAAACTTTTTGAGTATTGTCAAAAATTTTCTAATGAGCACTTAGATATTCCATGGCCCGGAGAACAAATGAATGCTTGCCGTGTTTATCTTCCCCACCTTACATTCTTGTGCATGCTCGAAAATGCTTGCCAAGTCGAAACTATTTCTATAGATGCTATAGAGGAGCTCGAGAACATAGGTGCGGCAATTAATTCACTTGATATCAATATTAACAAGACGGAAGCTAAGAGCTTGATCCTCAAAAAGATTGTAATCTGTTCTAAGATCGAACAGGCAAGAGACATCCTTAGAATTACCCGCGTTTCTGGAAGTGGAGAAGTACCTAATGTACAAGCAAATATATCTGATTTCGAGCTGATTGAGCGTATCAGTTCTGGAGCCTATGCCAGGGTTTACCTTGCCAAGAAAAAGCTTACCGGCGATATTTTTGCAATCAAGGTACTGCCAAAGTCCGGATTAGTACAGAAAAACCAGCTCAAGCGCATACTTCTTGAAAAAGATATTTTATTGCAATTCAACAATCCATATGTTACAAATTTCTACTATTCCATTATCGGAACTCGTAACCTTTATCTTGTAATGGAATACATAGGAGGTGGTGACTTATTCTCCTTATTAGAAAAATTTGGTTGCTTTGATGAAGGAAGTGCTAGAATTTATACTTACCAAATAGTGAGAGCACTCCAATACTTATACCAAAACGGTATTATCCATCGCGACCTCAAACCAGACAACATTTTAGTCACAAGTGAAGGTTATCTTAAATTGGCCGACTTCGGACTCTCCCATCTTGGCATGAAGAATCGCGAAAGACCTAACGATACGATAGACTTCAGAGTCAAAGAAAATGTTATCCAATCTCATTCACTCGTTGGAACACCAGATTACATCTCTCCAGAGATCATTCTTGGTCAACCACACAGTTTTACCACTGATTATTGGTCTCTTGGCGTGATCGTTTACGAGATGTTGACAGGAGCGATGCCATTCCACACCGAGTCGGAACAACACACATTCAAAAACATTGTCAAAGGTATTTACGCTCCATTGACAGATGTTTCTCCAGATGCAGCCGATTTCGTGAAAAGATTATTGTACAGTGACCCAAGAAAGAGACTCGGATGCCATGGACCTGACGAGATTCTTAATCACCCATGGCTGAAGGATCTAGATGATACAAAGATTTCTCCTCCTTGGGTTCCAGAAACTGATATACCAAATGAGAACTTCCAAGAAAGAAGATTCCCTTCACAAGATAAGCTTGTTATTCCAGATGATATCAATTTGGATATCTACGATACTCTCGCTTTGACAATCCGACCAAGAAATTCAATAAATTTCGGGTTCAGCTCTCCGGAATCGTATGTAAACCGAATGAGCAGCAGCTGGTTCAGAGATGAAGAAGATACAGAGAGTATCAGTGCGGATGATGAATTATTAAACTTCCCAAGTGTTCATATCGACCAACTTAGTCAGCAGAACAAAGACGAACTGAAGAAGATTAACGCATGCAAGTCATCGATATCGTTTACGTTAAACGTAAAAGAACCTGCTTCTTCTATTCCGCCAATTACTCAGCTGGAGTCTTCATTTTCCTTTAGTGGAAAAAAGCGCAGGCTGAGGAAAAGAGCTTTCTCAGATCTCGGATCGCTGGACGACTCTTGCATTGTGAGAAGCTGCCGGCCTCCGACACCAAAAGAATAAATTGTTTAGTTTATTTTCGATTGTATGTAAAATGAATATATGTCTTTAATTATACTATTGTTCAAAAGAGATCATTTCATTGTTCTAATTTTTTATTGTGATATATCCAATATAGAGAAATTATTCATAAACCTTCCTTAAATCATTAATATACCACAAATATATCAAATTCGGATTAATAATAACTCACAGTAATAAACATTTCGACTAAATTGATTAAGAATTTACTCAAAATGATCGTTTTGAAGGCCAAAAACATAGAGGAATATCTACATTACTAATTTATTTGTTTGTTTTATATGCTTTTTTAGCATTTACCTTTTATAATAGGAGAACAAATTAGGTAGATGAAGTTTAAGCAATAATTCTTTTAAATATATGATGATAAGATGTATTCGTATATGAATTTATATTCAGATTTTCGTGAATGTATAATCTGGGTAAGGTTTATTTTGAATGGATAAAACCATGGCCCCGATTGAACTCCATTATATAACATATCAGTTTAAATAGTGAAATTAAAACACCTAATCATATTAGATTAAATACACAAATAAATGCATTGCTATACTTAGATTACTCGTAATATCGAATTTGTATTTTATGCTGATAAAGAATAAATTACCTTGAGAAATCGTATATGAGAATATAATTCATATGTAGCCATTTCAACCAGCCGAGACGTTTCTATATGTCGGAGTTTTATCTCGAAAGTTTTCAATCGAATATTTGAAAAGGAGTGAAATTTTTTTTTGTAAATACATTTGTATTTTTAGTATGCCGCTAGGATGACAATATGAGCTGGCCTTTATAATAATTGATTTCGGATGGTAACCAGGGGTTCAAATGAAGTAATGAATCAGACTATTATGGCATATCACAAAAATATGGTGACATCAGTTAATATTGAAATCTACATGGTATATATGATTCTTACATATTAGGTTTTCAAAACATACCATCAATTTTAACATATCTATAACTTTTTTTCAGATTATTTTTGACCATAATTTTATTAATAAATTAGGCCAGAATATAGTAATTGTTTTTAGAACCAATTCATTATATTATAACGAAATTCATCTATTTAAACTGATCGAAGATCAAACTTTGAGTAATCGGTTGAGAATAATGCATGAATTAATGAATCGAGTATATGCTTTTATATTTCAACATTAATGTCCATTGAATCTAAGGAAGATAATTGAAAGAAAAATCACAGGTTGTAAATTTTGAAAACCTATCAAATCACTTTTTGATAAAAGCTATTGAATCTTGATTGGAAAAATTTTACTCAAGAAATATCAGTTTTATATAATTATTATAAGGAGTCATCAACATTTTTATCGATTGTGTTATAGACCGAAAATAGATTTTTTTGGTTTTCTCTTCAAATAATTGAAAGAATGATACTATTATAGGTTTATTATATTATATAGCATATAATCATGCTATAGCCGAAAATTATAAGTTTTGAGAAGATTGAATATAACACAAATAAATTTGAATGTAAGTTAAATTGCTTGTTGTTTTTAATAGCTATTTAATGAGAAATCCAATATTGCAAAATTCAAATTGAATGATTGAAAGAACAGAAAAAGTCATTCTTTTCAATTTCGAATATGTTTCATTGTATTTATAATTATATGGCAAATAAGATATTTAAACTTGATTTTTGAAGGAAAATTCACAAAATTGAATTAATTCAAATAATTTTTATTCAAAAATAAACTAGTTATTTGAATTTAATACTAATTATCTATTCAAACTACAAAGTTTGTAATTTAAAATATTTTGTGAGATCAGATTGAATTAATTCAAGGTTCTTTTCAATTATTATTAATGACCATATTACGCATTTTCGAACATTCTAAACCAAATATATAAAAATGGGAGACGAATGTTAAATTTGCTAGACATGGGGGAGTTGTCTGCAAAGTTTTAGCTCTTATCTCTAACAAAAAATTAATTTTTAAAAAAATGACCGAATACGTTTCACAGCGAGAAAAAAATAAAAGGCAAGATAGAATTTTCTAGACATAAAGAAGTTGTTTACCGAGTTTTAGCTCTTATCTCTAACAAAAAATTAATTTTAAAAAAATGACCGAATACGTTTCACAGCGAAAAAAAAATAAAAGGCAAGATATAATTTTCTAGACATAAAGAAGTTGTCTACCAAGTGTCAACTGTTACTTCTTCTCAATTCTGATATAAAATAAAAATCTTTATTATTTATTTAACCTTTATTGTTTCATTAAACTTTATTTATTTTATATTATAGTTTTATTCTTTTAGCTACTTGTAAAATAATCTAATTTTATATCATCATTTTACCGGATTATTCTTCAGTACATCGATTGTGTATCTAAAATAATATCATTATCCTTATTCTGTTTTTTCCAAAATTCTTTTAAATATCTTTTTTGGTTAGATTACTTTATACTTTTTACTTTTATTTTTTAATTTCAAAAAAAAAATTTGGTGATTGTTCTATTCTGTTACAATGTGCATTATCATATTCTAATGAATTATTCATTACATACATTTAAAAAAACTTGTTAAAAATGAAATTAAAAAATTATGTTTATTATTACGCTGTGAATGTGTCAACAGCAGTCATGCCTGTATCTGTATCCCATATTTGCCACAACCTTTCTGTATCTGCATTTGTGTATTTCGGTTTCAGCTGATACATTTGATTTGGCGTGTAATTTGTTCCAGTTAATGGATTAATTGGGAGATCTTCATGCGGTGTGTTATTATTGTACTCCCAAATAAAGGCAGGAATAGCTTGAATGCTTTGGCAGCGCTCCAATGTCGGCCAGAATCTCTCAATCTTCCCATTTTGGTAGGGAGAATGAGAGTCTGTATGCCGCCATTGGACGCCCCAAAGATCAAGTAGATCTTGAAAGGCGCCCCTATTTTCTGAACCGTTGTCGGTCCAGAAACAATAAGGGCGCCAAATTCAATGAAGGCGGAAGCTGCAACGTTCGCTGTCGTCGCTGCCAGCATATCTGGTATTTGTATACACGCTAGGACTTTGCGGCTAAAATTGTCGATTATGCCATAAATATACTGGCCACGAACACCCCTAAAATAATGAACATCTGCGTGCCAGATAAGATAGTTAGTATCCCTATCTTGGGTACGGCGGCACTGCGTTCCACCTTACCCAAGATAACGGTTTGACACTTTACAAAACCATTAACGTATATTTTACAACACAAACGACAACATTAACTTAACCTTAAATATTTACAAAGCCGCCAACCACTTCACCTCACTAATGTAAAAAATAAACGTTCTCACTTACAAAAGTATTGCAACTCCTCCCATTGCTGTGCTTCACATAACAGCTCATAATCTTCTGACTCACTTTCTTCTTCATATAGGTCAAAGTCACTGTCAAAATAAATGTTAGTAAGTTTTGACAAAGCTAATGAAACACGTTTACCGTTTGTATCTATTGCTTTTATATATCTCCCATTATGTTTGTTGTCATAAACGCTCAAACTAACTTTACCCTTTCTCCCTCGTATCTGATAGAATGTATTTTCACGAGGAACGAAGAACAAATTCTTAAACTCATGACCGTTGTAGTTTGTTATCTCAATAGTTTTCGTCATTTATATAAAAATAAAATAAAAAATAAACTTAAAAATTAATGATATCACCACCCTCACACGTATGAAAACATAGCACAAAAATAAATTTAGGTGAAGTGGTGAGATCTCACCTCTTTTTTCACCTTGTTGAATTCATTGCTTTATAACTCTCTTCCTTTCTCCAACTCTTCTAACTTCTTCTTAAGTTCAGCAATGTTGTCCTCATGAAGTTTAATCTTTCTCAAAATTCCTTCTTTATCTAATGGTTGCTTTATCTTTCTAAACTGAACTCTACCATCCTTCATAGTATGAATGTAAAAACCTTCTGGAATAGTTCCTGATTTAATGTATTCTACCAAAAACTTTTGTTTCATTGCTTCAGTGACTTTATTTGTCATTTCAATCAAATAAAAATTTTAATATTAAATAAAAATAACGTTATTTTTTCAGTAAGGAAACGCAGGAGTTTTACGATTTATTTGAGGAGTAGGTTCTGGTTTAAATGTTGGAGTCGGTTTAGGAGTTGACTTTTGAACAGGAGTTTGTACTTCCATAGGTTCAGGAGTCATTGAAGGTTTTGCTTGTGAAGGCGTTGGTTTTGGCGAAGGTGTTGGAGTTTGTTTAACTTCAGCTACTTCAGTATTATTTACAACATTTGCTTTATTTCTTTTCAACATCATAACTGCTCCTGCTGTAGCTAGCAAACCTAGTGGGAGACCATATTTTATATAAGGACTTGACCAAATGCTATTTTTGGCAGGAGCTGGTGGAACACCTAACCTTGGTGAGACTGCTCTTTGCCATTGTGCAGCTCGTAAGAAATATTCAATAGGTGCTCCATAATCGTTTGGTAAAGTTTGTTTCATAGATGGTGAAGGTTCACGAGAGCTTGATGAAGAACTCATTTATAAGCTTTAAAATAAACGTTCATCCTTTATTCCTCACTGTCGTCCGTAGCTAAGTTATAGTCATCTAATCTTATTATGGGGATGCCATTAGCACGCACCTGAATGGCAAAGCAACAATCCCTCATAAATCCAATAAGTGGCTTTGGTACGTTTTCAGTTGCTAGTTCAATAGGTCCTTTAACAGACAATTTGTATGTTATTGGAGCAGTAGATGTTTGACCTTGCTGGAAGCAAAAGTCCACTTCTTTTGGAAAACCACATAAGAAATGTGTGTTGTCATAGCTATCCCATTTATGTTCCACACTACCATCATCCACCAATGACCTCATAACATCTTCATTAAATCCTATCATATCATTGTTTGTATTGCAAGCGTTCGCAACCATTTCATAAAATACAGGTCCATATGATTTTTCAGGTTCTGCAGGCATATTTCCATAAGCTCCCATGGAAAGCTGAAGATATTTAAACTTAGGGTTCTCAAAATTAACATAATAGTTGTCTTTCTTTCTAAATAGTGCCCAAATACTTTTAACATTAATAGGCGTATAAGCTGCTGTAAATGTTGCACTTGAACTATCTGTATTCTTTGAGAATGAACCGTCCATAGGAATCCAATCCATAACTTTAACAGGAAAACATAAAGCCTCGTTTGTATAATGTTCTACAAGTTCTGTATAAATGTTAGGGTCTAAAGAGAATGACTTTGGATGAATGAAACATTCATTAAAATCCATCTTTGTTCGAAATAGTTGCTGGGTTACAGTTGTAATAGTAACTGTTCCACTAGCTTCTACTGCCTTCGTTATCATAGTGAATGGTTCATTCCATGGAACAAATTTATTTGTCGGTGGATTTGAATCTGAAGCAAATGCAACTTTAAGAGTTGGATTGAAAGCAATGATATCATTTACAGATATAGATGTGCATTGTAAGGCGTCGCTACTGAACTTTACTTTAAGCTGAATGTTTCCTGCAAAAGCTGGAATAAATCGAATAGCTTCTAATGGAAGGAATCTTCTAACAGGAATTCTTAAACGAAGCTTAAAATCAAATGATTTTCCTGCTGTAATTGGATCACTAACAATTTGTCCTGTTCTACATGTTCCCGAATGACTCCATACATCTTCATGTCGAGTCTTTAAGAAAACATCTACTTTCTTTATTTGTTCGGTAGTTTGTGAGTTTGAAGTTATATATGCTTCTTCTCTTGCGTTGTCTTGAGAATATACGATACGACCATTTGCAAGGATTTGATATCCAGCAACTGCATAGAAAGCGTCATCGAAACCAATCCAAAATCCTGGTGGGTTTGTTTTATTGGAACCTGAACCAATTTCTTTATCTACAATAAATTGACCTTCCATTTTATACGTAATGAATGTATTGTAAAGGTCCAACATATTTTCACCAGGAGGTGAGAGATTGAATGTTACCCATGTGTTATCTTTAGCAGTTCCAGGTTGTGATGGAATCTTTGCGTCAGAATATTTTCTATTAGTGTCACCAATTTGAACTGCATTGTCTATGATATCGAAATATGAGCGAATCTGATGAATATGCTCTGCTGGAGTAAATTCGTTTAACTGTTCGTTCTGCATGTATTTACTTCAGATAAAAATATCTATTTACTTCATTATTCTCACTCTTCTTCTTGGCATTCGTGGTGGAAGTTGTTTCTTGACATTTTCAATGAACTGTACATTCTCTTTTGTCTCAACTTCTTTCACTGGCGGGTCAGGATTCTTTGACTCGGTTTGTTTTTCAATGAAATTCACGAACTTTGCAATAAGCTCTTGGTTCGTTATTGAAAGTACATCTGGCTTCTTTTCTTCTGGTTCTATTGACTTTTCAGTTTGAATAGAAGGCTTAACATGGGCTTCGTGGGCTTCACCCTTGCCATACACCTTAATACTGTCGCTTTCTGCATTCGCTAATGGAACCTTTCTTTTTCTTACGTATATTTTACCATCTTTACTCTGACTTACGTAATAGAAAGGATGTTGTATTCCTCTTGCGTCATTTAATATAATAGACTCTCGCTCTGATTTTGACAAGCTCATTTTACATCGGTTAAAATTTTAATTTTGTTTTTTATCTGCAGTCAAATGACTCAGACAAGCCCTACGGACAAGACCCAAGGGGTCATAGATGTTGAAGCATTGAAGAAAGAAATTCGTGAGCAAATTTTATCCGAACTGAAGGAACAAAAACAAGAACAAAAGCCAGAGAGACCAAAGAGAAAACTTAGTGAAAAACAACTTGCTGCATTAGCTGCTGGAAGACAAAAGAACCCAAGACTACTGGCGAAGAAAGCTAGAGAAGAAGCAAAAGCAAAAGCTAAAGAAGCTGAAGCAAAGAAAGAGTAAATGGTTTATTTTTATCCGAATTAAATGTATAGACAAATACCTTTATCTGTTGCATTCAGTAGTGAAATCCCTGACGTCAAAATAAAGGGGAACAGAGTAACGTTTAAGTTTCCAACAGACTGGATTGTGAACATAAATGAAGAGAAGTACATTGGCATAACAAATATATACATTGCGAGAGCATTTAGGAAAGTTGACTTTATACTTCAAGTCGAGATAGAAAATGACGAACAGTCTTTAAGCGCCCAAAACATTCACATATACAAATACTTTAAAGACGATACAACATTGTTGCAATGTATGATTTCATTTAATGAAATGTTCGAGAAAAAGTTTAACATTGAAGTACAAACTTTACAGCCTTTACGTGAGTTTCTTGCACAACTGAAAGAAGAAGGTAGTCAGCCACAACTTATAGACTTTCATTATGAATTTAATGAAAATGAAGATGGAACACATGACTGTCAGTTTGTTGTATTCTCACCATTCAATGAAGTCGCTAAAGAGAAAGAAAATCCATTACGTATAAGATTTCAAATCTCTGAACCAAGTGATGATTTCAAGAATGTTTTCAATTATGATGCAATGCTTCCGAGGAAAAATGAATTTTCAAAGATTGTAACACCCGGCATTTGGGATAGAAAGCAAGCTATATTATATTCAAACTTAAGTAAGGGAGTTGAAAATGAGTTCATTGGTCATACAAGAAATTCACCACTTCCTAACCCTAAATACTATAAATTAACTGGCTTCAATCGTGAGTTTTGGATAGACATGTTCTCCACTCATGACCATAACTGCCCAGTGTTCTTACCTCCAGACCATAAGGACTGTCTCTACATTGAAGCACAACTCTTAAACTCTACCATCGCAGTATTGTAAATGACCACATGGGCTTCGCCCTTGCCGCTAGCGGCTTATTTTTATCACGAATGACCTCATTGCTGACAAAAATAAATGACCTCAGAACTTCAACTTACGAATAAAGCTTGTTTTAGTCGTTATTGAGAAGTTAAACTTTTCAGCAAAGCAAGGACTAGAAGACTTACATAAGTCGAATGCAATCTCTTGACCGTCATAAAGTGCTTTATATAACTTCATAACACTGAACTCTGAGTCTTTGTCAAATTTTCCTTGCGGAACCATTAAACCTTTATCTTCATCATAGAAACACTGAACAGAGTCAGGAAACATTTCATTAGCGGTTAAAGCAATAACATCTTGCTTCACGCCTTTCATTCTGCAGTGAAATGCAACTTCATTTAAATCATTCGTGAGTAAGTCTATGTAAGTCTTCTTTCCACAAAATATTGACTTGTATGCTAAACTTTGTTTTCCAGGTGTTATTTCTGCGAAGTCAGAATGAAATTGACCAAGGTTTTTACCAATGAGAACTCTTCCATAACGTTTCTCAAACTCTTCAGCTAAACGAGGGATATCTTCATTGTAGAGATGCATACTGTCCGTATCGCTATAAAAGATGTCCATTCCTAAGTCCTCAGCAGTACAGAATACTTCGTTCATTATTCTCTTCGACATAGACAGAATGTTAACACCAAGTGGACAGAAGTTAAAGTGTCTGCAAATGCTTTTCGTTAGCTTGAAAATAGTTTTATCTGAACCATCCAAACCTTCGAACTTCACTATATGGTTGTAGTTTCTGATAGCATATCTTATAGCATCTTTGTCATTTACTATGGTTATTTTTGACTTAATAGGAGATAGAATAGTTTTGCCATAAATACTGTTCAGAATGAGCTTTATATTTTCTTGCAAAGGATTTCCTTCTTTCTTATACTTTAACCTTAACTCAAACAACTTCTTTACTTCATCTCTTATTCATTTAGCATGTAGTGGTCTTCAACAAGAAGTAAGTCAATAGTTCGAATAGTTTTACATTCTTTTGGTATGTATCTCTTTATTTCATTATGTCTTGAGTCATTGAAGTAACCAATGGTAACATTAAATGCTATACCTGTTGCGTCAGAAATTTCTTGTACTTTACTTTGAGGAAAGTCTCTAACACGAATGACTTCTCTCATGTGGTCAATAGTTTCTTCATTTACTCCAGCCTGAATGCAAGCATAAACGAAACAATTGTCTTCTGTCATAAGTGCTGCAGTTCTTTTGTTCAATTCATTGAAGATTTGGTAGCGTTCAAGATTTATAGGTAATGTGCAAAGATACTTCCAGAACTGACCGCTTCTCTTCTTATAAAACTTCTTTTCACCATTATCTTTCCAAAAGCTTTCTATAAGTGCTGGGTTTCCTGTTTGCTTAAGAGCTTCCAAAATGGCTTTCTGGTCATTTGTCAGTGTGCTTTCATCTCTATAAGGTCTCTTTTTTGGTTTGCCTTTCTTTACATCTGACATTGTTAAGCCTTCATATTCTGTTAAATCATACATCTTTATTTCAGTAAGATTCTTTATGTTTTGTCAAAGAAGTCATAGTGCATTTCAACAATACCTGCAGCATTTGCTTCTATCTCTGATATAAAGTTCTCCTTCAAGAGCTGATGTAGTAATGTTCCAATATTATTGAGGTTTAACGTAGAACATTCATACTTTCCACAAGTTTATAACATACCATCCATCTCTGTTGTGAGTTTATTTTAATTTTCTCTAAGAGTCTCATGAAACCTACCGAAATGTTTGTGTAAGTAGTCTCTTTTGGTTCATCTAAAGCTTCGATGTAAAGTCAATGAGTCTATTGCCTGTCTTAACATTCCTCTTCCTATTCTCTTCATCTTTCTTTAACCATCTCTCACCTTCTTTTGGTTTGTCGTCAATGGAACGAATGACATCGTTAGCTTTGCGAACTTGTTCTATAGCGCTCTTAAACATCTCTCTTCTCTGTTGTTTCAGTGTGTCGTCTCTTCTTCTTTGTTTCACCAACGTTTTGCATTTGTTATGTCAAACATTTCTCTTCTTACTTCATGAGGTACTGAACGTCTATGATATAAGTCAATAGCAACGTCATTTAAAGGAAATGCTCTTGCATGGACTTCGTCCTCGCCGCGTTGCGGCTTTATGAACTCATGAATTCTATCATAACTTATTGCACCATTATAGTCATTGAGATGTCAGCGAGTGCTTTTTTTTTGTTGCATAATGCTTTGCAACATCTATATTAGCTTCTGTAAGAAGTTGTTTTATTTCCGAGTGTTCTAACTTAGACAACTTCCGATACATTTTTAGTAGGAAATAAAAAAAATATTTTTTGAAAAAATTAGATTAGATTTTTTAAAGTTATTTTTCAAAATAATTTAATATTTTTATTTTAATGAAACACATGCAAGATTGCAAGTTTTTTCATACAATGCTCTCGCTACTGCCATCAAGAATGAGTTCAATAATGCTTCAAATGTTAATGTTATCTTTAACAAGAAGTTTGTGAAAGAATCTAAGTTTGGTCAGTATGTCAGACCATTAGCTATCGTCATTGACCGCAAACGTTATACTTCACAAGAGTTAGCAGTAGTTTTGAAACAAAAGAGTTTCTTCGTGAATGTCAAAGATACTCATTATACTGTTATAAAGAACTCTAATATTGACTTCTTCAGTATTGCTTTAAATCTTTCCGAACAGAAAGAATATAAGAAGGGTGAAACAAATGTGAAATATTATCCTTCATCTCTGAAGACAATAACGAACAAAGATGTTATACAGAAGCTCCTACCAAAGGTTGAAGAAGCTTCTATTGACATTGACGAAGGAAGTGAAATGGTTGAAGAAATAGACCCTGAAGCTATTTAAGCAAAAATATATTTTTGGTTAGTCTTCATATGGATATTTTACAACAATTCCCAATGTATAAACTTTTCATACGCTTTTTTCATAAGCTTTATATACCTTCAGAAATTTTGCATAATCTTTAGAAGCATTTAGATATTGTTTAAATGCTTTGTATGTCTTCAGAAATTTTGCATAATCTTTTACATGTTGTTCGTTCTCTTCTTCTGTCATGAGTTCCGAATATTCTAAATTCATGTTCTTTCATATGAGATAAAATTTTATAAAAAAAATAAAATTAGCTTAGATTTTTTTATTCTTCCTCTTTGAAGTTATCGAAATATTCTGTTATTTTTTCCTTCAGTAATGTTAAGTCTTCTTTGAATGTAAGTATTGTGCAACCTTTGATGTCATAGTGTGTTTGAGGAAGAGTATTTTTGACAATTTCCTTTATTTGCTCATTCGGTGTCATTGAAATCGGTAAGTTTTCACGATAGAACCAGTTTCTGTCAGATTTATATATTTTAGCTAAGTCATAAAAGCTCTTGTTGTTTCTTCTGACTAAATGCAACATAACCATATCTTTATCTTCTTCTTTCTCCAACTCTTCAGTATATATCATATACTTATAACTCTTTTCCTTTCCTTTTGGTACTGAACGCGGTATTCTTTTCTGAATGCTTTTGTCTTTGGATTCAATGACTTCATCTTTTGCTTGAAGTTTCTTTTCCATCTCTCCACGTTCTGCTTTATATAGTTCATCTAACATCATGAAAATATAACAAGCATAACGAGGTGAAGCCCACATTGCTACAGCATTTACTAAAAGTCTATGAACATAATAACCTTTCAAACCAGGAGCCAAATTCTTGCGATTTTCGTACGGAATCTCTTCTCTCGGTTTTCCAAGGGAAGCAATCATATGAGGAAATTCTTCTAAAAGTTCTTTTGTCTGTTGGTTTTCAAACCAATGATATGCTTGCTTTGTAGAACGAAGAGCATTCATTATACTTTGCATTTGGTACATGTCATCTTTGACTGAACGAATGAGACGTAACTGTTTGTTATACTGTATGTACTCGTATTCTTCATTTATAGCTTCATGGACTATAACTGTTGTTGTGTTCTCTGATGTTGACATTACTGTCTTTACATACAAAATAAAAAAAATAAATAAAAATAAAATTAGCGTTATTTTTTCTGAGATAAACACTATTTCTTCACAACATTAAATTTTATCCTGTATGAAATGACTTTAAAAAGATTATTGACTGACTTCGAATACTATCTCATTGACGCACTGACAGACCCTCAAAACTGTGTTGAAAGTTCTTTAAGCTTTAAGATTGAAGGTACGACGCATTTTGTCTTCACTTACGTATTGAAAGAATATGACCGTTATCATAACAAAGTGAATCAAACACTAATAAAATTTGTAGATAAAAAATTGGATGAATATTTTAAACGTGAAGACCCAAACACTGCTGGAGATGATGAAGAATACAGACAAGTTATTGAAAAAAATAACGCAAGATTAGATGCAATATAGGGTGTCCAAAGGTGCGTTTAGCACAGCGCTCTATATGAGACTATTAAAGGAGATATATGCTGATTATAAATATATAATAAAAAATATGAATATATGTATATGATGAGTATGTTGTATTTTGGCGCCATGCCGGGATATAAAATGAATTTTGAGACAAGAGGCGGTTTCGCGGGAAATTTTGGCGGGATTTTTTTCATTTTTTTAATGAATCATAAAGAAAACATCCTCGCTCTTGCAAAAATGCAAAGACTGTAAAAAAATCTACGAGACATTGGTAAAATGCTTCGGTATGGATGCTCCTAGCTATTCCACTGTAACGTATCTTGTTAGGATGTATCACTTCATGAACAAAAAGGCGCCCATCATAAAAATTGACAAAAAATCGCCGGATCAAAGAAAAATCAAAGCAATTCTTCAAGCGCTAGATGAAGACCCAAGAGCATCACTCAAAGGATAGAGGAGATGACAAGATACCACGTACAACAGTCAGTTTTATCTGCACAATTATTTGAACTACAAACTAGCGTATACACGTTGGTTCCGCACAACCTTAATTCAGTTCAGTTCAAAAAAATCTAGAGTCCAATCTTCGAAAGAGCTCCTCTCTATATTGGGTGCGTATCAATCCAAGAAGTTTCGCTTTTTAGTAACAGGGGACGAGTCTTGGTTTCAATATGCAACAGAAGCCAAAATCATGTGGATCCCGAAGGATGAAAATCCGCAAACATTCCCGAAGAAAAAAATTGACACACCAATGATGATGTTGTCGGTTTTTTGGGGCGTGAATGGCATCATCGCAATTGATATTCTTCAAAAACCTAATACGATGAATGCTCAGTATCTAATTGACAATGTTCTTACTCAAATTATCAATTCTGATGAGTTTGAGAAATCCAAACAACAAAAACAAAAGTTTGCAATTCATTTTGATAATTCAAGAGTTCACAAAAGTCATAAGGTAATGAATTACTTGGTGGAAAACAATGTCAAAGTTGTTCCAAACCCAATTTATTCACCTGATATTGCACCCTCTGACTTTTATTTATTCGGCACGCTAAAAAAGAGAGCTGAAGGACGCGAATTCGCGAGTCCAGATGATCTTGAAAATTTTGTAAGAGAGCAATTTGAGCAATTTTCTCATGATGATTTAAAGCGTGTCTTTCAAGCCTGGATCGATCGCTGCGAACGCGTGATTGAATCCAATGGTGATTATATTTAAATAAACTTTATATATATGTAACTTGTTTATTTCTATTCGCAGTATTCAGGTTTGTGCTAAACACACCTTTGGACACCCTATAGAAAAGAAGTTTAATGAATGTCTTACAAACACGTATGAATATCTTATGCGGTGGGAAGCCAGATGGAAATAAATTTACGTCAAATATGCAATTTATAAAATCTTATGTCGACAGGCTACGTAGCACAGTGGTCTAAGGTGGTGTTATGGAGGGGTCAGGGTCTGTGGTTCGAACCGCAACAGCGCCGTATTTTCTTATTTTCTTTGTTTGTCTTGCTTGTCGTGAATAAAAAGCGTCATAAAAGTACTCTATCTTCCACGGGAATAAATAAAAAATTTACTTTATTTCTTCTTTATTTCTTTGTTCCCGTGGAAGAAGGGTTTTGCTGTTTTTTCTCAGCTGAAATCAATGATTTTTTCATTTTTGGAATCCTTAGCGAATGAGGAATCTTTTCTCTCGTGGAAGCTTTGACCAAAAATAATGTTTAGGTGAAGAGGTGAGATCTCACCTTTTTTTTCACATAATTTTTCACCTCTTTTTTCACAAGCGTTTTACATGAATTGTACGATGTATATTTGAAATCCTAAACAATTTCGTAGCTTCTATTTCTTCGCTGAGGATATCAAAAGTTTTAACAATGCCGAAAGTCTCTTTATATTTCTTCTTGACGTCAGATAGAAGGAAATCTTCTGCTGTTGGATAGTTTTTGTTCAGAAATTCTAACATGTCCATTTTATCTTCTGCTGGCTTTTCTGCTTCTTTCTTTAAGTCTGCATAGTCGTTTCGCATTCTTTCTATCTCTTTGACTGAATAGTTATATTTCCTCATTGCTGCCTTACATTTTGAACATTGCGGATTCATTTTTGCGTTATACATTGAAATAAAACCAGCTAGAACAACTAAAGCGTCAATGGTTTTCTTTAACTCAAAAGCAGTTGGTTTTATCTGTTCATGCCATACCTTACCTCTTCTATCTTTATCTCTTATCTGCCATACACATTTTGCAACTAATGAAACAAAGTTATCGTATGTCTTAAACACCACCGATTTATATATGTCAGAAATATTTTTATAAACCATGTCGCAATCTTTGTCCATAACTTTATGGTTGCAATGAAAACCAAGGAATTCATAATTTACTTTACGTATGAATTTCTTAATTTCTACTGAGTCAGTTGCTTTGACTTCAATTTCGTCGAATTCAGGAATAGTTAGTTTTTGCTGCTGAATTTCAGGTAGTTTAGGCAAATGGTCGATGAGGTCCTCCATTTCATAAAGATACTGTTCATTTGTTTCATCTTTCGCACTACAGTCTAAATTACTTGTTAAAAGTTCTTGCTTTATCTTCTGTATTTCTGTTTCGAAAGTATATGAAGAAGGAATAAAGCTTTTCATCTCTACCAACATTGACGTAGGATTCATGACTAACGAGTTTGGTGCTGTAGTTGTTTGAATTGTTGTTGTGCCGATTGTTGAAATCATATCTTTTATACAAAATAAAAAAATAAATAAAAATAAAACTAACTTTATTTTTTCTATCTTAAGGAAATTCATGAAAATTCAAGCGGGTAGAAATGAGGGTAGAAATGAGGGTAGAAATGAGGGTAGATCTAACCATCTACCCTAAACATTATTTTTGGTGTAAATTTATGAAAACATTAATATATAAAATTCATGAAAATTCGCGAGGGTGAAAAAACAGGTGAAAAAAGAGGTGAAATCTCACCTCTTCACCTAAAATATATTTTATCATTTATGACAAAAATAAATGGTTCATTTACTCACAATATTTTTGTATAAAACGACCCCAAACTTTTAACTTCTTTTCTGCAGCTTCTAATGCTATCTTAGCGAGTTCATATTCTCTAAATTCTCTCTTTAAATCTTCTTGTTCCCATTGGTCTAGTTCGTATGGAGAAGCTCTATAACCATAACATATCTCACGTTCATGTTCTAATTGTTTTTCATGCATTTTTCTAACTTCTTCTTCAAACAAATGTTTAGCATTCTCTACTGTATCTTCGAGTTCTTCTTCATCTAATTTCTCATGAACTTTCTTGTCTATGGAGTCCATAATTTTTCCAACTGCTATGCAATATTTTGGAGAAGCCCACATTGCTATATAGTTTATAAGTCTTGGGGCTACATACGTTCCTCTAACCTGTTTGATTTCATCAGAATTCCTGCATGAATTTTGTATAAAAACCAAACCGTCTGTTTCCGGCGGTTGCTATATTCTTCACAAAACGCCTTATAATACTCTTCCCAGGACTTATTTTCCAACAACTTTCTAAAGTCTTTCCTAAACTGCTGACACATATTTGTTGCATTAATGTAACCATCCTTGTCTCTACGTAAGACTTCAATACCGTTATAAGTGCCTTTTGTGAATGTTTCGCCATTAGATTTGTTCGTGAATGTTTTTGCTTCGACTGACATTTCTGTTCTTACATACAAAATAAAAAATAAATAAAAATAAAACTAACTTTATTTTTTCTATCTTAAGGAAATTCGTGAAAATTCGTGAGGGTGAAAAAACAGGTGAGATCTCACCTCTTCACCTAAATTATATTTTTTGGTGTAAATAAATGGTACCATTAATGATATCATGACTGTTCTCGTTCATGTCTGATTTACATCTAATGAAAAAGTTTAGAAGAATTTTCTTATTCTTTCTGGCTTATTTTTGTCTTTCCAGTACTCCCGCTCTAATGGTCCCAGATGTGTTGGCTTCGACTCTCTCAAGTTCTTAGATGGTATAACATCTTCAACGCCTCCTTCATATCTTACTTTATAAGTGTCATCGTTTATGTTGTAGCCAAGTATTTCAATAACCACTCCTCGCTTTGCTTCGTCAATGGTTTCAGCAAGTTTGCCATTACTACTTTCAACTAATTTATGTCGAGGATAAAACGCAATAGAGTCGTCGGCAGCTTTTATAAGATATCCATTACCTTGCGTTGAATCTACGATATAATAGTTTCCACTTAACCTTAAACGTTTCTTTGTCAACGGTTTGTCGTCAAGAACTACACGAACTTTTGTACCAGGAATGAGGGTAAATTGTGTTGAATTTCTGATATTTTGTGTTTGGCTTCGTTTCTTTTGTATATACTTTTCTTCTTGTTGTTGTGTTATTGAATTTGGCGTATGTCCTGTTGTAGAATGTGTTGAGGAATTATATACTTCGAGAAAATGTTTCATTGTTTCTTCGGTAAAGTCTCGCTCTTGATTTAAATCTCTGAGCGTTCTTATGAAGCGGTTTATGATGCCGAGTATGTTATGGTTATGGTCTTCAGTAGTGTAGTGAGTTATGTTATGCTTAATGAGAAAATCTGTGATTTCATTGCTGAGGTATGCACTGTCTTGGTCTGATGTTAAAGTACTTGGGCTATGTTCTGCTACAAACTTTTGTAAAACTCTTAAAACTTCATGAGTTCCTTTATTTTTCATTGGATATGCATATGCTTTGCGAGTGTTAACATTAATGAAAATCAAAAATGGTTTATGTCCTCCTTTTCTGCTTTGAATGAGAGTGTCAAATTGGTATGCGTCAGGAGTGTTGGAGTAAATTGGTAAAAAGTAGTCGTAGGGGTTTATTTTTGTTTGATGTACAACATTTTTGTCAAAGAACCTTTTCACTTCAGCTCTGTTAGTAAATCCCCAACTCTTTGCAGCTTCATTGAATTTCTTAAATGACCTCCATGGATGTTGTTCGAATACTTCTTTCAAGCTCATTTATGTAAAGTTAAAGATTTTATTCTAGGCTCAAGCGCGTTCATTGAACGCGGTACCATGCGAATATAGTCACAAATGGTGGCATATAATCTGCACCCGAACCTGTTGGATTTGTTATGAAAGTGTGTGAATGATTTCCTGTGGTTCCACAGAAAATACCTGCGCTTGAATCTACTGGGTCACTTGAAATATCATATCTATTCATTCCCTGTCTATCCGAACCTGCTGCAAGATTTGTATAACCTCTTTTTGTTATTGAATGTGAATGACTACCTGTTGTGTTTGTAGTTCCTGTATGAGTGTGCGGTGGAAGGTTTGCTTCTTTAATTTTCTTCGAACCTCCTGTTTGCTTTGAATATCTAGCACAGTATAAGAATTTATCTACAATCTGCTTCCACATACCAAAACCTAAAACTGTTTCTGGATTTGTTGAGTTCATTGACGTATAAATAGAACCAACAGGATATAATGTTTGAAGTATTTCAGTCTTTAATGTTTGAAGCTCTGTTTTGTCTGCTTTCTTATCTAACATTGTTGGTAGTTCATATGCTTCAAAGTTTCTGGCATGATCTTCGATATTCCTGCAACTGTTATCTAAATTGTTTAGTGTATCTTTTACGCTTGTACTCGGATTCTCTAAAGGTGCACTTGAACCGAGGGTATAGTTCAATATTATGTCGTCTGCTCTAACAGTTGAGAAGGAGTTATATGTATGTTCTTTATCTGCTTTTTTATCTAACATTGCTGGTAGTTTATATGTTTCAAAGTTTCTGACATGACCTTCAATGTTCATACATTTACTATTTAAGGAGTTTAGTGTATCTTTTACGCTTGTACTTGGATTCTCTAAAGGTGCACTTGAACCAAGGGTATAGTTCAATATTATGTCGTCTGCTCTAACAGTAGTGAAGGATTCATGTGTATGGTTCTTATCTGCTTTTTTATCTAATGTAGCTTGAAGTTCATTTATATCGGAGATATTGTGTTTATGAGATTTCAAAACTTTGTTCGTTGCGTCAAGTTCATCTTTGTCAGCTTTACTTTTAATAGCATCTTCAAAAGTTATTTTTGCCTTAACTCTCAAAGTAAATCTTGGTTCAACTAATACACCGTTAACAAAGAAGTATGAAGCATAAATTTCATTGTTATAACCAAATGCTTCTGGTGCTTTACCTGTGTCATACTGTACAGTACAGTGTATGTCATAACCTTTAGCACGAATGAATTTATATCTTCTTTCATTAACATCTTCAGTGCTTATTTGTTCATCCTGTGTTAAATATCCATGGTAGTCCGTTATAATCTGTTCGTCTGAACTTATATAATGAACATGGTTTTTATCTGCTTTTTCGGCTAATTTCTCTTCTATCTCATTTATTTCAAGTTCATGCCTACCACCACCTCCCGAAGAAGTATTTTTCTTCAGCTCTTGAAGAACGTCCACTTCGCCATCTTTGGTGTCAATAATGAGACTTTGAGTTAAAACCTTTCCTGTCTTAATGGATGTTTGTAAAACTTCTTCTTCACCGTGTTCAGGGTCATGGTCGTCATCATATCTTGCGAAATCAGAGATGTTGTCATACATTAAGCATATCTGTCTCAAAAGTTCTGCTATTTGAAACTGGAACGAAAGATATACAGAACTTTCATCATCTCCTAAAGTCAAGTCTGCTTTCTTAAGTATTTCTTGAATGTATGCAATGAGAACAGAGTACCTTGGAAAATATTCGAACAATATTTCATTAGCTGTTGGTTTTGGTGGTTCTTCTGGAGTTTCTGTTGTTTCAGTTCCTTCTGTAGGTTCTGTTGGAGTTTCTGCATCTCTTGACTTCAATGCTCTTGCTCTCAAAGACCTAAATGTTAGAGCACCAGGTTTTACAAAGGACTTTATAAATGCTTTAATAGTTCCTGGTAAGTTATTGTTAGCATTAAGTAAGTTCCTTATGCTTCCATCATGTACGTCCATAGCACTATGTAAAAAATCTATACTTTTCTTGTAGTCAGCAATAGACTGACTGTGATTTTTTAAAGATTTGTCAATACCTTTAAGCCAATCTTCATGCATGTCTGATACTGAGCCAAGAATATCATTTGCTTCCTTTAGTGTATTTTGTGCTTCTCGTAAAGTATCCAATCCCGTACGTGCATTGTTTGCTATACGTCTTACAGTATCTATTTGACTCCTTGTTTCTTGCATCCAACCAGATAAAGTTTTAATAGTATCCGAACCATTTGAAATGAAGTTCAAAGCATTTTTAACGTCATCTAAAACTTCTTCACCAAGTACTGCCCATATCTTTCCGATTTGGTATTGAAGAACTCCATATGAAGCAGCTGTTAAACCAGTATTTATAAGGTTCCATATCCATGATTTAGCAGTTTTTCCATCCTTTCCATCTTCACCATCCAAACCGTTTTCGCCTTGAGGTCCTTGTATTCCTTGTATTCCTTGTGGTCCTTGAGGTCCGGTGTCACCATTCTCTCCTTTCAGTTCATCTTTATGTTCGTTATAATATTCTAATGTCATAAGGTGTACATCATTACTGCTACCAATAACTCCTAATATTTGTTTCTCATTCATGACTAAATTCTTTAGGCATTTAATGTTGTCGTCAAATCGAAAGCTCTTTAACAATTCAATGAGAACATTCAGTACTTTCACTAATGAGGCATCTACTGTAGAATTTATATATTGCACCGTTCCATCATTTATGATAGGAACTTTACTTATTGTAATGAATGGGTCATAAGTGTTAAAAGTATCGAAATCAATGACTTTTTTAGTTTTTCCATCGTCAATGACTAAATCATTGCCTTCAATGGTTAAAGTTGAGTTTTCGTTTACTAGTTCATGTGCTTTTCTTGCTTCATTTGTTTCATACGCATATGCAGCAATAGTCATATTTTAATGAGAATAAAATGTTGTTCTATTTGCAAAGTACAGACCCAAACGAATACGGGATAGTAAAGCTACAAACAAACTTAGGTCTTCAGAATGAAGCGCTTGCTTTCAGAGTTGTTGACTTCAATACTATCGCAACTTTTGTCATAACAGATGAAACAGATTTCATAGAGATTGAAATAGATGACAAAAGAAGTGTTATAACATTTCCTAACAGAGCTGGGTATAGAATAGATAAAATTGCTGGAGTCATAAATACTCTCATAAATGAAGAAACTATTGACAACATAGATGTCGAACTCTCTTCTGAGGGAACATTGAAGTTCAGTAGCAAGAAAGAGTTCAAGATAACACAAATGAGTCATAGAGTACAACTTCTTTTGGGTGCATACCATATGACATTTCCTTTGAAAAGTGTTGACAAAACGATTGAGATGAAATCTGTTCCATATGTATGTTATGACAATTGTTTATACATTGAGTCTAAAATAGCTAATGTCACAGGCATTTCAGGAGTTAATAGTAAAGGTTCAGTAGAATATAAATCCTTCTGTTATGCAGTCAATTCAATGTTCATTCCAAACGTTCCTGTCATAGCAACTCATTTAGGTAAATGGGTTCGCATTAGTCCTCATAATTTGAAAGATATGCAATTCAGACTTGTTGACTTTCAAGGAGAGCCTGTAGAACTGAAGGCACCAGTGCGAATGACTGTTGAAGTTGACTTTTTAGAAAATATTAAATGCAACAGCTTACAAGAGAACTCAGAGCTAAAAATATAAAGTATAAATGTTATGTATTAGGTCATGAACTTTGGTTGTTGCTGTTTGATGAAACAAATGAGTTAGTTATGTCAGTCAAGAGAACAGAAAAATATTGTGTTAGTGAAAACTGCACCAAGTCAATAAGATTAGGTTTGCATTATGAAGATGAGTTCAATAGTGTTGAAGAAGTTTTGGACAGATATTACAAATTGCTAACTTGAAATTTTTTTGACTGACGGCGCAAAGCGCCAAGACCGAAGGTCCTGACTGCTTTAATTTACTAAAACATATTTCAAACAAAGCTTATAGTCAGTAGATAGTTTTGTATACTCGTTCGAATATTTATACTTAAACTCAACTCCTGTAGTTCCTGGTGTTTCAATGATGCGGATGTTACCTATTTTCATGAATAGTGGAGTTTGACCACAGCATTCGATTTCAGGGTCGAGATAGTCAATGACACATTGTTTCCTGTTATTCGTGAGATAACATTTTCAAATCCTCCTTTGTTAGAATTATTTGGTTCTTGCTTATAAGATTTGTCAAAAGCTTCTTATCGTCTTTGAGTAAAATTGTTTGGTATAACTGAAGAAGGTAATGGTCTACGTTATCTGAAGGATTTGTTTGAACATTTGTGTAAGGGTTGTCGTTGGCTTCTCTTGAAAGAATTTGGTCCAGTGGTGGATACTCTAACTTAACATCTGATGTAGCGTTAGCGTTTGAAGCTGTGTTTAAATTCACCGACTTAAGTTCTGGTTCTTTTTCTTTCAAACACTCTGAACTATAGTTCTTTATGACAATATTGTTTGTCGTTCGTGAGTCAACATTTGATGTTGGTTTAATTGGAACATTAACGGCACCAGCTAAGATGGATTTGCTTCTCATTTCATATAGAATAAAAACCTTTTATATGTATGAAATGAACAATATACTCGACAAGGGTTTGAATGTAAAGCTAACGAATGAAAATATTGTTGAATTCACTGAGACAGGTGCTGTGTATAAAGATGTAGAACTACTGAACAAAAGAGCTAAGGGAAGAAGCAGGAACATGAACAAAGGGTGGAAGCCTATAAAAATTTATGTCAATGATGGCTCAGGAGGTTCAAACATAAAGTATGCAGAAAGTTATAGAGTTTATGCTCTCAAAGGTGAAAAGCCTTCATTTAAGAACAGCTATTCTAACGCATATCCTCAAAAGCTAACGGATGGGGAAGTGGATGATATGAATGACAGCAAAAATATTAACAGAAATGGCGACAGAGATGCATGGAATTTGTTTACCATCAGTCAATTGAAGGTTAAGCTTTAAAAAATGTTGGTCGTTCCATGGAATATTTTTGACTTTAATGGTATTAGTCATGATATGAATCTCAAGGTATGAACGAGGAGAGATGAGAGACTTATATGCTTCCCAAATTTCTTCAAAAGGTAATGTTATACCTGACTGTTTCCAAATGAGTTCAATATCATAACGTGAGAAACCTTGAAAGATAACGAAGTCAGTTATGAGACGTTTTATGTTTAAAGCTAAAAACCTCCATGTTTGCATAAGTATTGCTACAGTTAAGTGGTAATGTCTGACTTTAGTTATGATGTTAGCTAATGGTGAGTCTGGTTTTGACACTAAACCTTTTCCAGCGAAGTCGTCGCAAACTAACAAAGTATTTGAAGGATATTTTTTGAAGGGGTATTTTGAAAGTTTTGATAGAATGTAGTTTGTAAGTCGTTTCATATCGTAAACTCCTGAGTATTGACGTAAGTGGTGTTTGTCAATAATTCTTTCCATCTCCTCAGAAGTCTTTTGCATTCCTGACTGTATAAATTCAACGATGGCATAATATTTCCTCTTACGTCGAATGTAACGTTGAAGAAATTCAATGAGTTCACTGTCTGGAACTTTAACGACAGAGGCTTGAACTTTTGACATAAATGTTTTCGCTGTTGAGTCCATAGAGTCTGAAGTTGCTGATATAATGATTTGGTCATAATATGAGTCATTTCCTAAACGTTCTGTTATAGATATGACGAATGAGGTTAAATGTCTTTCCTGACCCATCTTTCCACAATAGAAATAAACGCCATTTGAACAGAATTCATAATCTTTGCTGAAAGGAAGAATAAGAGAAGAGTTAAGTTTGTCTGTAGTTTCATTCATGTCTTCATCTACGTCATGTATTAAATGCTTCATTTTATCTCCATTAAAAATGCAAGTCAGAAATATTCAGAACATAGCACCGAGTCTAACTGACAAGAGTATAAAGATATACTATGAACACGTTATGATGAAACCTACCAAAATTCAAGAAAGTCAGTATACTTATGAATATCCAAGACACTGGTAGAGTATGTAGGAGGTGAGAAAGCTATTGAAATCAGACAGGTTCGAAGTATTCCAGCAGGAAGAACAATATTATTGAAGAACTTTAATGTTTTGAGGTATAATGATGAAACAAAGAAGCAAGATAGTTTCCCTGTTGCTGTGTATGTGAACTTAGATACAGGAGATGACATGAAAGTTTTTAATACAAAGCTTCAAACGGTAGTGAGAGAACAACTTACTGCGGAAGGACATCCATTACCTTCAGAAGTTACCATAGCATATAATTTTGAAACAAACTCAATAGATTTTAAAGTCGTCTCTGCAAAGAAGTCAGGTTTTACATTTAATGAAGCAGATGTATATTCGAATGAAAACTTCAAAGCTATTGCATGGTTAGATAATGACGATTGCTTTAAGAAAATCTTTAAATTCAGTGACTCAAAGATGTCAATAGATGACCTTCGTGGAATGTTACCATCGACGTTTACAGTAGAAGGTTCAGCAGGATTGCTTACAAGATTGTCAATTGGTGGTATTTGGTCTCGTGAGAACATTGTTATAAAATCCAGTATAAGTGAATTTGCTGAAGAATCTATATTATGTCTTTCAAACTACATGTATTCGCCGCCGAAGCATTATAGTATAACAAACTTTGTCAGTAAGTTTAACATAAGACTTGTTGAACCTTCTTCAATGAAAGATGTTGTGCTACCCAAAGACGGAAAGGATGGACTCATTATTGAGATGATTTTAATAGCATATTAAATGAGCTTGTTCTTGAAGGTCATTCATGATGAAATAACTGTTGTAGAAGATGTTAGCAATTGTTCAGACATTTTGAAGCGTATAGATGATATAAAGAAATAAGTTAATAGACCGCAAAGCGGTGAGGGCGAAGCCCGTGAGAATGTTTATGTTTCATTGACTTTCACCAGTAACGAGAACTTTTATGAGATAATATTGAAGAGAGATGATTTTAATATGGTGTAAATGGTAGCTTGGGCAGCTTTAGGCGCAATGGGAACAAAAGCATTAGCATTTGGAGCAAAAGCACTTGGAGCTTATGACGCAGTAAATAAAATGAGTGGAGGAAGGGTTTCGAAGACATTAGATGCAAATAAAGGAAGATTGGAGGCTGGGTTGCAAAGAAGTTAAGATTAAATAAAATAGGGCTCATAAATAAAGCATCCAATTTGGTTGCGACTGAGTCAGAAAATGCTTTAGGAAAGGACGATGAGTTTGCAAAACACGCAAAAGACTTTAATGACCAGATGAAAGGTGAAACAATGCATTTAAATAGATTCGATGGAACTAAAGAAAATGTTTCTTCTCCACCAGTAGTTCTTCCGTATGGTCCCTATGGAATGTATGGAAACCCTTATGAACGACCATTTGACCCATTGACTGGTGGAAGTAACTGGTATCATTACGGCCGAAGAAGAAAGCCAGTCAAGTTGGAGACAGACGTGAAGAAAGCAACTAAAAAGAAACCAAGGAAGAGAGTTATAAAGCAATGAATTCAACAAGGTGAAAAAACAGGTGAAAAAAGAGGTGAGATCTCACCACTTCACCTAAATTTATTTTTGTGCTATGTTTTCATACGTGTGGGAGTGGTGATATCATTAATTTTTAAGTTTATTTTTTATTTTATTTTTATATAAATGACGAAAACTATTGAGATAACAAACTACAACGGTCATGAGTTCAAGAATTTGTTCTTCGTTCCTCGTGAAAATACATTCTATCAGATACGAGGGAGAAAGGGTAAAGTTAGTTTGAGCGTTTATGACAACAAACATAATGGGAGATATATAAAAGCAATAGATACAAACGGTAAACGTGTTTCATTAGCTTTGTCAAAACTTACTAACATTTATTTTGACAGTGACTTTGACCTATATGAAGAAGAAAGT